TTGTGTTTGCAGAGTGTGTGGGTGACTTGTGACATTATATGACATGTATGATTGTTGTTTTTATGATGTGTGTAATTTGTGTGTGACACGGCTTTTGTGGGTCTGTGGGTGCTCTGCTTTTGATATTTAGAGTGAGTGTGACTTTGTGTTATGAACATAGGCACTTATGGAATGTGAGCCAGATGTGCCTAGATGTGCTGGCCCATGCTCTATGAATACTTAGAGCTGTGACTGTGTGAATCAGATGTGTTCCTTTTGTGATGGTATTGTGTGTTTCCACGCGTGGCTTGTTGTGAGATTGTGTAGTTGTGAATATTCCATGTGAGTGTGACTGTTTCTTTGTGTCTACATAGCAAAGGGGGTGGGGTGAAAAAGAGCGAGATCATAATTTCCCCAGATGGAGTGGGTGGAGGGAACTCTCTAATGGTCCCCGCCTCCATCCCCACAACCCTCTAGTATTTTTCTGTGAAAACTTAACTGCAGCAAAAAAAGGACAAGTGAAGGTCACATCGAGGAGAAAGGAGAAAGAAGCTGGAGAGACAGGGACATGGAGAAGTGAAAAGACAGAAACGAATGTAGACAGAATCCAAAACGGGGAGAAAAAGATAGGGTGACAGAGAGACACAAAGGATCATAGAGAAAGGAGGAAAACCAATGGACAGAAAGAGCAGAGACCAAGGAGGGCGCAGGGAGGAAGAGACTGAGGAACAGGGAAGAAGAGAATGAAGGACAGAGAGAGGGTGAACTGAGGGGCCAAAAGGACAATCGCAGTGACCGAGCAGTGAGAGTGAAGGACAAAAAGACGAACCATCTTGGCGCAGGCTCTGAACTTGGGTTGCTGTCCATTCAGCACCACAGCTGACAAACAGCTTCAGGTTAGGAACCAGTATTTTCAGAGAATGGAAGCTTTGGGGGTGAGTGGGTCTACTATACACCTTCTGTGCCTTCCACTATATATCCATCACCCACACACAATATAAATACCCTTCATTCCACCTCCGACCCCACAACAGACACCCTTATTCACTAGACATTCACTAGTCATCTGGACCCTTCAACCTACACCTGTCACATCACCCACACACTCCACAACACACACATTCCTCATGACATATATCTGCCCCAACAAACTGTACATTCTTGAATGCTGCATATGATTCACCCCACTTACCACCTTACAAACCCCACACTTCCTTCTGCAGCACATTTTCTATCTCTCTAACACTGTTCCTTACCCATCTGAAAAGAATACTCCATTCCTTACACCTTACACACCACAACCACACACCCTACATTCCTCACACTACTTCCCCCTGCACACTATAAATCTCTTCCCCTCAAACATTATATGCATTAGAACCCTCAGCCAGACTGGATGCGACACTGCATGCACACTGGGTTCCCCGCCCTATGCAGACACTACCCTGGTTCCTGTTCTGAACCTCAAGGTCTCCTTTGCTTTCTCCCGGTCTCTGATCCCATAGGGATTCTGTTCATGTCTCTTGTGTGTCTCCTTTGTTCAATTATTGTCTCTGTTTCAGGGTCAATACCTCCCCTTTGTTTTTTCCCCCAAGTTCTCTAGATCCCGAGAAGTCCCCAGCTCTGTCCCTGTGACCTTCTCTTTTCTCTGTGCCACCGCAGCTCCTGCATAGGGAGGAGGGAGGCTGCAGAGTCATCAGTCCTTCTGTGGTCTGGTGTCAGTGAGTGTGTGGCTGGCATATATTGTGTAACTGTATGTATTGGACTGTATTTTATGCATTTATCACCATGCATTTCTGCATGTCTGTGAGAATGTGAATGAGTGTCTTATTGTGGAACTGTGTGTATCTAAACATGTGCCTGTGACTATGTGTATGTGTCTTTGTGAACATCTCATCTTAGGTGAATAACATGTGAGTATGTGGGCCATGTGATTTTAATCGTAGGTTTTATACGGACTCAGTATTATTATAGGGGCATAGGATTTATAGAGATCACTTGGTCTCCCCTCTCATTTTGCAGATAAGAAACTGAGGCCCTTCAGGAAGTGATTTGCCTGGAGTCAAATAGGTAATGACCAGAATCTTCTGACTTGAAATCAAACTTGCATTACACTATGCTTTCTCCCCTCCTCCCTTGCCCAGGGACCTAGATTTCTTGCCTTTTAATCTCCTCAAGCAATGTCCCAGTGTTCTTCCCTTCAGGAATGTAGACAATCTAGCTCTCAGCCTCCTCAGGCCCTAGGTGATATTGTCCCTCCCACCCCAACTCTTTCAGGGACCTGTTCCCTCTTCCCTTTAGGCACTATGGGCCAAAAACCTGTGTATAATTGTCTCATTTTACAAATGGGGAAACTGAAGCCCAGAGAAGGGAATTGACTTGCCCACAGTGCCGTTGGTAGCAAGTAGCAGAGTCAAACTTCCAATCCACTCCAAATGTACATTCATTTGATACCCTCTGTGTGTTTGTTAGACCCAACACTAGGAGTACAGGGAGTAAATGTTGGAGATTCTGGTTTCTCTTTCCCACCTTTCTAAGACAACTAAGGGAAGACAGTGATAGGGCCTCCTGGAACTGGACCACAAGGGCCTCCCAGTCTCCATGGTAATGGCCCTCCACAACCTTCCAGCCCTTCAGTGTAGCCTGCCTACTGTTACCTGGGCAACCAGCAGCTCCTGAGCCTTTTCTGGGGCTGGGGGTGTCTCTGAATGTCTCCGTCCAGCCTGTGTGTCTGCCTGTCTCCTTCTGCCTCTGCTTCTGCCTGTCTGTCTCCATCTTTCTGAGTGCTCTCTGTTTTTCTGCCTTTTGCTAGCTGGGTCTCTATTTCTGACTCCATTTCATTCTCTCTGTCTCCCAGTCTATGTCTCTGCACTTGATTCCACTACCAACCCCATGCACTGTCCAGTAAAGCAAACACTCCTTTCCCCACTATGTCTTCTCCCTGATGGAGACAAGTGAGAATAACTGGATTCTCAGATGGGAAAATAAACCTTTTCATCCCAGTTTCCACTGCTTTTTGTTTTGTTTTGTCTTTACCATAGAATGATATTGTAGCAGCCAAGAAAGCCCAGGTGATCTCAGGCTGCATTGACAGGGGCAGAGTCACCAGGACCAGGAGGAGAGGGCATCTTTGCTTTAGGTAGGCCACATTGGGAGGACTGGGCTCAATGCTGGACATTGCACTTCAGGAAGGGGACTGTCCAGAAGGCAGCCAAGAAGGTCAGGAGCCCAGAGATCATGCACTGGGCATGTTTAGCCTGTGGAAGGGAAGCCATCCTAGTTCTCTTCATATGGAAGAAGGACTAGGCTTGTTTTGTTTGTCTTCAAAGGGCAGAATCAGGAGTAATGGGCAGAAGTTGTTGCAAAGAGGCAAGGTTAGGCTTAATGTCAGAGGGGGTAGGGGGTGGGGTGGGAAATCTCCTAACCTCTCCTAAAATGGAATGAGCAGCCTCAGGAGGTAGTTGGGTCCCTCTTCATTGGAGGTCTTTAAGCATCAGCTGGACGACCATTGGTGGGAGTGTTACAAAGAGGATTCCATGTTAAGATAGGAGTTGGACTAAGATGGCCTTTGAGATCCAAGCTAGAGTTTTAGACTCTGTTCTAAGGACCCTTCCAACCCTCACGTTGTATTTGCTGAAGACTCTTCCAACTTTCTGGTTTTATATTCTAAGGTCCATGTTCTAAGCACCCTCTCAGTTTTGACATTCTCTGTTATACCCTAAATTCTGAGGATCCTTCCCAGTCTAATGTTCTCTCAATCAATGACTGACCTAGTACCTCCCTTAAATAACAAGTTTCGTGGGAGAGGAACAGACATGGGAGGGGTGTGGAGCAAGGATAAGTCCATTCCTTGCTGGGGCAGGGGGCAGGTAAAGGGCAACACAGCCTGCTCAATAGTTTAGCTCCAAGTGTCAATGACATCCTTTGTCCTAGAACTGTAGAGCTTTAGGAGGCCAGGGACAAAGTCTCACACATTTCTCTTTCTGTCAGGTGCTGAATCAAGGTCCCAGCCGGTAAAGGGCCCTTAGAGAAAGTTTGCTAGATATTATCCTGCAAGGTGCTGATTTGTCTCTTGTATGATGTGTCTGCATCCCTCTAACCCTAACCCTACAAATGTCTTTATCTCTGTCCCCCTCCTTGGTTCTGCCTCCCTCTATGCCTGTCTCCTGAGCTCTGACTGTCTTTTTTTGTTGCCTTGTCTCTACATCTTTTTCTGTCTCTTTCTGTCTCTCTCTCTCTCTCTCTCTCTCTCTCTCTCTCTCTCTCTGTCTCTCTGTCTCTCTGTCTCTCTCTCTATCACTGTCTTGGTCTCTCTCAGTGTCTGTCGTTCTTTTCTCTGTCCTTTCTCATCTCTGTATCTTTCTCTGTCTCCCTCTGTCTCTGTCTCCTGAGTTCTGCCTGTCTTTTCTTGTTTCTCTGAGTCTCTGTGGTTCTCTTTGTCTCTCTCTGTCTCTGCCTAGTCTGGGTCTTTGTTACTGTTTTTTCTTGTCTCTGTGTCTCTGCATCTGACTGTCTCTCTCACTCTGTCTTCCTTTTTGTCGCTGTCTCTTGGTCTTCCTCTGTCTAGTCCCTTCTTCTCTCTGTTTATCTCTGACACCGTCCCTGTGAATCTTTTGATCTTTTTGACTCTGCATCTCTGTGTCTTTAGTTGTCTCTTTATCTCTGCATGTCTTGCCGCGGTCTCTGTGTCTCTTCTTGTCTCTGGCTCTCATGGGTGGCAGGCTGTGTGCAGTGTCTCCCCGCACTGCAGAGGGTTCCCGGGGCTGCCCCTTGGGCGGGGGGGGGGTGAGATTGGGAGAGAGAGAGAAAAGGCGGGGGCCGGGGAGCCTGGCATCCCGGGCGCCCGAGGCGGGGGCTCCGCAGCGCTGCTCCCCCTTCGCCCCGCCCCCCCTGCGGAGGCCGCCACGACAGCTGCAGTGCCAGGGGCGGGGCCCGGGATGCCGCTCATCCTGCCGGGTCCTCCGATTGGCTGGCTCCTGCCCCCCCGCGCGCCCGGCCATATGAGGAGGCGGAGGCGGGGGGCGGGCGGCCTCTTCTGCGGACCGAGCAGCGGACGCGCGGACCCAGTCCCGAGCCCAGCCCCGCGCCCCGCACCCGGAGCCTCAACCCCAGAGCCCGGAGCCCTGAGTCCCGAGCCCCAAGTCCCCAGCCCATTCCCCACCCCTGTTCCCCGGCCCCAGGCCCAGCGAAGCCGCCAGGATGGGGGTAGGTGCCCGGGCTGGGAGGGGGCAGAGTGTGTGTGTGTGTGTGTGTGTGTGTGTGTGTGTGTGTGTGTGTGTGTGATTGGGGGGCTGTGTGCCAATGTTGTGTATCCATGGGCTGGGATTTGGGATCGAGTGCGATGTCGTGGGTCTCAGTGTGGCGTTGTCTGATGTGTGACACGCTCGGATCTGTGTGATGTTGCGTGCCTGTGTTTGAGATGTAGGTCTGTGTGACATTGTGCGCCTGTCTGGAACACTGGGTATCTGAGCGTGAGATGTGGGTCTGAGTGACATTGTGAGGATGTGCCATGCCGAGTGTCTCTGTGTGTCATTGACGGTCTGTGTGTGACATTGCGGGGCTGTGGAGCTGTGTGCCTTGTGAGATGGTGTTTATATCTGTGTGCAGCACTGTGAGCTTCGGCGAGGTGGTGTCATTGAGACTTTGGGGTGTCTCGGTGCCTTTCCGAGTCTCAGTGAGACTATGTATATGTGAGCCGCTGCCTTTGACATGTGTGGCTGGGATTGCTGGTGTCACTGTGTATGTCTGGGCGACCTTGCATGCATCTGGGTGAAATCCCCCTTTCTAACTGCAGAGTCGGGGAGCTAAGCGGGATCAGAAACGACCTCGCTCTCTCCTTTGCGGCCTGGCCCGTCGGGGTAGGGGGCTCCGCAGTGCGCTGCTGCTGTTAGGTGTGTGTGCGTCTGTGTGTGTCCGTGCGTGCCCGAGCTGCCCAGCCCCGGGGGACATGACGGGAGGGGGGAGCTCTAGGCCCCTGAGGGGGAGGGAGGGAAGAGGAGGGAGAGAAGCAATATCAGCATCTGTGCCCAAGAACGTGTGAGCTGCGTGTCCCCGTGTCCTTGTCTGTGTGTCCTTGCCTCTGTCCATGGGTCTCTCCACCAGATGCTGTCACTTCGGTTTCCTGACACCCCCCCCCCCTCCGCAGACCCGGATCCCATTCTGTCTGATCCTCAGCCCGGGGGGCTTTGGGGAAAATGGCCTTCAAGAGGAAGGGGATGGGGACTGGGACAAAGATGGAGGATAGGAGTGGAGATAGGCTTGGAGCGTGGGAACAGGGGATAGGGTTTGGTATGGGCATGAGGCTAAAGATGGGGGATGGGGATGGAATTACAAATGGAGGATGAGGGAAAGTGGGTTGGGGACAGGGATGGCAGCATGATGTAAGGAAGAGTATAGCCTCGGAGTCAGGGGAGGCCAGGTTTTGAATCTGGGCTCCACCACTGCATGTGCCTGGATTAGGCATTTCACCTCTGTGGGACTCAGTTTCCCCATCTGTAATATTTAATACCTGAATGACTTAGCTCACCGTGCTGTTGTGTGGAAAGCATTCTGCATGTCCAAAAGGGCTATGTAAATATTGAGAATGTGGACCAATTTGGAGGGTGCCGTTGGGGATAAAGATGAAGCTGGGGGTGGATGACACTGAGAAGCACAGAGAAGCAGAGGGAGGCAGGAAAGCTAAGCTTGCACGGAGATGAGAGAATAGCGAATTTAGAACGGGAAGGGACCTTAGAGGTCATTTAGTCCAGCTTCTTCATTTTACAGATGAAGAAACCGAGCCCACAGAGGTGAAGGGACTGGCCCAAGGTCACAAGACTAGCTAGGTCCATTTGTCATCGTATTCAGTCTTTTCCCCATTGCACCATGATTGAGATAAAGATGGAGGATGAGAACAGGAATGAGGGTGGGATAAAGATGGAGGGTGGAAATGAGCTTGGAGATGGGATTGGGGTGGGGAGGAAAATAAAAACAGGGGGTGAACATGGGTTTGGGAAGGGGGCAGGGGGAGGGAATGAGGGCTTTTGACTTCCAGGTAAGTTGGACTGGGGAGTTTTAATACCTCAGGACAGGGGGAGGGAAATGGGGGAAGGATGACGGAAGAAGGGGAGTCAATATAGGGAGATCAGGAGAAAGGTTAAGAAATGAAATTGATTGTGGGATTTTAAGAAAGACAAAAATGGGTGTGGGGAGGGGAAGACAGATCAGATAGATATGACAGAGACAAAATCTCAGAGATACTTGGGGGGAGGGGCCCAGAGACAGACATTGGAGAAGACACAGGGACAAAGACTTGTGATTCTGAGATGCCTACAAATAAAAGAAGAGAGATAGAAAAGTGAGACTCAGAGAGCCTTGCTCTGAGAGAGATGTTGCTACACAGAGACAGAGATAGAGAGACACATGTAGGTAGAGCTGAAAAGAGACAGAGATGGATAAATGAAACTAAAATATAACGGAAAAAAGGGACTGATATGAGAACATGGGATATAGACTGAAAGGAAAAGACAGATAATTACAAGAGAGATCCAGGGAAAGAGAGAGAATTTAGACATATGAAACTGAAAGGACACACACACAGAAACAGAGACAAAGAGACAGAGACAGAGAGACACACAGAGATGCAGAGATAGAGACAGAGAGACAGAGAGGAAGAGGGAGAGAAAGAGAAACAGAGACAGAAAGACAGACAGTGGTAGAGATAAAACATGAGGAAATAGAGTAGCTTTAAAACAAGGTATCTGGTGATGGGGATGGAGTCACAATGGGAGAGAGACAGGGTAGCAGAGTAGGAAGAGATTCTAAGTGCTAGAGAAAGACACAGAGGCAGATCAAGATTGCAATAGAAGTGAGGGGAGGGACAAAGACAGCAGACTTCAGCACCACCCAACACATACCTCTGCACCTCACAGTCTCCCTTATTTCGCTCCTCAGTCTACCTCTCCCTTCTATCTGTCTTTCTTTTCTGTCCTTCACTCTCTCCATCACAATGTGTCCCTGTCTTGGTCTCCCTGTGTCTCTGAATCTCTGCTACTCTCTCCCTCCAGTACAATGTCCTTTTTCTCCACCTCTGTGTCCTTGTGTCTTAATAGCTTCCCCTCCCCCCACCCCGCATTGCTTCACTGCAGTCCCCATCTTTCTGCACCTATCAGCTTGCCTCTTTTTTTGTTTCTTCATCTCTTTCACCATCTGTCTCTCAGTCTTTCTGCCTCCAGAGTCACATTTCTGCAAGGGGAAGGGAAAGAGTGAAGGACAAAGGTTAGGAGATTAAGGAAGGGAAAAAGAAATCTGAAGGTCAGAGAGACTGGGGAAAATGGGGATAGCAAAAGATAGATATAATGGAGAGACTCAGAGCAGGAAAAACTAAAGAAGAGACGGTAATACAGTCAAGTAGAAACACACACACACACACACACACACACACACACACACACACACACACACACACTGAAGTGGGAGCTGTAGCTGGGCATCCCCTGGGCTGTCCTTTGCCATATTTCTCCTCTCTTCCCCTCCTCCCCCTTCTCAGTCTCTTTTTGTACCCTGCTGTTTCTCCATCTGTGTCTTTTTCTCAGACTGAGTAGGCATCCCATCTCCCTTCAGCCTTATCTCCAGGGCCTCTCGTTCAAGAAGACTTCACAGATGTCCTTATCCCCCAGCCCCCTTCACCTCAGGGATCCTGGCATTTGTGCCCAATGCACTTCAATCTGTGTTTAGGGGACTGGAGAGGGTAATGAAACACTGAAATTCAGGGTCTGTTTTCCATCCCCCATCATTCATTCCCTTGTCTTTTCCTCTAGAGGTCTCCCTCCAATCCTCTCAGTCTCTTTCTCTCCACCTTTCTTTCTCTCCATCTCTCTCATGCTTTCCTCTTTATCTCTGCCTTTCAGTATCTCTGTCTTTGCCTCCCACAGTCACTCTGCATTTGAGTTCCTCTCTATCCACATCTCTCTGTCTTTCCATTTTTCAGATATCTACCCTTCCCTGTGCCCCTGTCTCTCTCCCTGTGTATTGTGGGGACTCTGAGTCCTTGGATTTCATTAACCCTCTGCTTCAGTGCCCCAACTCCCCTAGGGTGCAGTCTTGCTGCAGGGCTGGCCAGTGGCCAGGCCTCCCCTTCTTCTAGACCTCTTTGTCCTCCTCTTCCTTGCACACTGACAGCTGGCTTCTCCCTCCCATTTTTCTTTCTCTGTCTCTTAATGAGTCTCCATTCTCCTCTAAATCGCTATATAAATGTGAACATATTACATCTCTACCTCTTCTTTCCTGGTCTATCCTTTTCCATTTTCCTTCCTCTCTTTGTATTTCTGCCTCCCTATTTCCCCTTATGTCTTTCTGACTACATCTCTCTCTGACTCTATACCTATCTGTTTTCTTTTCCACTTCTCTCTATTGCTACCCACCTTTCTCTTTCCCTGCATCCTTCTTACTGTGTGTCTCTCCTGATTCTGTGACTTTCAATGCCCATTTGTGTCTCTGCCTTTTCTTGTTTCTTCTTTACCCCTTTGTTTCCCTGGTTCTGTCTTTCTGTCTCCCTATATCTCTATTTGCTTTTCTGTTTCTCTGCCCCTCTCTTTTCCTCCCTTTCTTCCCATATTTCTGCCTCTTTTTGTTGGCCTATCTGCCTGCTCCCTTTTTCTATGTCCTTTCTTGTCATCCTGTGTTTTTCATACAATGTCAGAGTCTATCTAATCCAACCACTGACCCCATTTCACAGAAGAGGATATTGAGGCACAGAGTAGGGCTGGGAAGTACCCCTGGTCAGTCAGCTGCCTGCTCCATCCCAGTGCCCCAGGGCCTGGAGAGGGCTAGGTGTATGTTCCTGTGGTGGAGGAAGATTGCTTTTCCTCTCCCCATTTCTCTCTACAAGGTCACCAAGGGATTAGCATCCTGGAGCTGATGAGCCGGCCTGAGAAGGACTGGGCTGGGCTGGATTCCTCTCAGCTTAGGGATCTGCCCAGCTGGAGAGGAGAAGACAGGATCTACCCCTCCCCCCTTTATCTTCCCCCCCCCACCATTTTACCTCAGCCTGTTTCTCTTTGTTTTTCTGTCTCTCTTTCTCCTTATGTCTTTTGTTACGTCTCTCTTTATCTCGCAGACTAGCTTTTCATATACTCTTCAAGGAAGAGGAGGACTGGAGCTGAGGAGGGAGGGGGAAACATTAAATGGGAAAGATCCTTCAGGGCCAACAGATGGGGAAACATAGGCCCAGAGACAAAGATGTTACAATATGCCCAGCAGTGTTGGTCTGGGAGAGAAAGGGTATGGGTACAGGCATTTATGTATATGCCAGCTACAGGCACAGATACAGACAATGAGAGAGGGAGAGACAGAGACACTTAGCAAAAGAGACAAAGAGACAGAAAGAGACACAGCCAGAGGGACAGACAAGCACAGACAGAGAAAAAGAGTGAAAAAGAAGCAGAAAGGGAGAGACAGAGACAGAGAGAGAAATAGAAGCTAAAAGGGACTGAGAGGTCCACAATTGAGAGGTAGGGAGGCACAGACACAGAGAAAAAAGAGATCAAAAGAGAGGGATTCCTCACAGAGAGGGAGAGAAAAACCTAAATAGAGGGAGAAAGGGGCAAAGAAAGACAGAGGAGAAACAGACAAAGAAGCAGACATATACACATGCATGAGAGCTGCAGAGGGGGAGACACAGAGAGACACCCAGAGGAAGAGAGACACAGAGAGACCAGGAGAAGAGAGACAAAGAGGTATGGGACACAGAGAGACAAGAGACACAGTCGGAGAGGCAGAGGAAGACAGAAAGAAACAGAAATGGAGCTGGTCAGAAACAGCACACCATACACACACACACACACACACACACACACACACACCTGGAGAGAAGGGAGAGGAGACAATCTGAAAGACATCGAGATAAGGCCTGCCTGGGAGGTCTAGAGCTAAGGCCGGCGTGTGGGCGAGGAGCGGGGCGCTGTGGGGGTGTCCCTCCCTGTCACCTCCTCTCGCCCGCAGCGCGGCCACTCTGACAGCTATCGTGTCGCCACCTCGCAGGACAAAAAAGATGACAAGGGCTCGCCCAAGAAGGGCAAGGCGCCCAAGGAACGCCGGGACCTGGACGACCTCAAGAAGGAGGTGGCCATGGTAAGCCCTGACCCATGGAGCCCCTCTCTGAACCCTGTCCCTTTCCCCCAGGGCCCACCCCTTCCCAAGTCTCCCACATCCTTGGCCTAGTGCTGCTGTGGAGTCAGAAGATCTGTAGCCGCCTCTAACTGAACTATATGACCTTGGACAAGTCTCGTTCCCTCCCTGGGCCTCATTTTTCTCATCTTACAAATGAGGAGTATGGAATCGAGGGTTTCCAAAATCCTTCTAGTGCTAAATCTCAAAGCTCCTGATTTCTCTTGTCTCCTCTGCCCTTTCTGAGGCTCCGCCTCTCCCGCCGTCCCAGACCGTCCTGTCCTCCCCGCCCTCTTTCTCCCGGGCCTTGCACTCTTGGGCAAGTTAGGCCTGATTGGAACCTCCCCCTCTCCTGTCCCTTAGACAGAGCACAAGATGTCAGTTGAAGAGGTCTGTCGGAAATACAACACAGACTGTGTGCAGGTAAGACTGGATGCCCAGAGTACTTGGACTGCTCGGGGAAGAAGGGCAGATGCTTGGTGGTGACGAGAGGGGTAAGGGTGGTAGAGGAGAAGGGCTAGGACAGGGGCTGGAGCTCAAGATCCCTGGGGACCCTGAATGTGTGAAGTGTTTGGGGATCTGGACCCTGGGGCCTTAAGGTCTGGGCACAAGGCGCTGGGGCCCCAGGGGCCCTTGAAGGCAGGGCTGGTCTGTTTGAGATCCCTGTCCTCTAGGGCCTGACCCACAGCAAAGCGCAGGAGATCCTGGCCCGAGATGGCCCCAACGCCCTCACGCCTCCCCCCACCACCCCAGAATGGGTCAAGTTCTGCCGACAGCTCTTCGGAGGCTTCTCTATCTTGCTGTGGATTGGGGCTATTCTATGCTTCTTAGCCTACGGCATCCAGGCAGGCACTGAGGATGATCCTGCAGGAGACAATGTGAGTGCACGGTGCCTGGAACATACATGAGATCTGCATGGGGTGCCAGACACACACGAGGGACAAACACAGGACGTGGGAGATGGATGCATAGGGAATGTGGGCAATATAAGAGACCCATACAAGAGACATGCAAAGGACGCGGGGCATGGAACATGCGTGTACATATGACTCACCCATGGCCTTCATGGAATGGGAAGAAGTCTGTGAGAGAACTTCATGAGATGTGTGATAGACTTAGAGAACACACGGGAACTTGGGACATGGGGCACGTATAGGGAGTGAAGGACATGCTTAAACAGGAGACACACCCAGGACATGGAACATGTTTTCACATGGGGCACATGAACATATGGGACACAGACATGCATATATCTGGTACATACATGTTGTATATACACATGGTATGTGCATGGGAGATAAGATCTGGGCTTATGAGTATAAGACAGGTAAACACAATGAATCTGGAGTTGGAAGAGTTCAAACCTCAGCCCTAGTATTCAGAAACTGTGGGATAACAGGTCAATCACTTACACTATCTAGGCTCGAGTTGTTTCATCTTTAAAATGAGGGGGTTGGAAGACGGAGCCTCTGGGTTCCTTCCAGTTCTAAATGTTATGATCTGTACCCCACACATGTGGGACGGGATATGCTTGGGACAGACAGGAGGCATGGGCTGCCCATTCACATAGGGGATACAGAATGGGATACACCAGGGCCATAGTTCATGCAGAAGACATAGAAGGGTCATGGGGCAAACACAGACCATGGGCCATGCATGTGAAATGGGACATCTCTGTGACCTGTGGGTGGCTTCCTTCCCTTAGCTGTATCTGGGCATTGTCTTGGCTGCTGTGGTTATCATCACTGGCTGTTTCTCCTACTACCAAGAGGCTAAGAGCTCGAAAATCATGGAATCCTTCAAGAACATGGTCCCTCAGGTCAGGGGTCCTTCAGGCTGGGGCAGGAACAAGGCATAGGGCATGGGGAGGTTGGGCCTGGTTGAGTCGGGGCAGGGGCTCTGATCTTGGTGATAGGTGGAGCTTCTGGTGGTTGGGGCTTAAAGCACTAGCTGAACAGCAGAAGGGAAAGTCTGGAATAGCTGAAGCTAGAAAGTCAGAGATGGGGGGACCTGGAAGTGGAGCTTAGAGAACAGGGAAGGCTCTCTTATAGAGGCTGGGGGACCCCCAGAGGGAGATGCATCTAGTATGAGGCCATGGGCTAGAGGAAGGACCAGATATGAAAGGGTTTTCACTTCTCCCCGCCTGTCCTTCCCCCCGGTACCTCCTCTAGCAAGCTCTGGTGATCCGAGAGGGAGAGAAGATGCAGGTGAATGCAGAAGAGGTGGTCGTTGGTGACCTCATTGAGATCAAGGGTGGGGACCGAGTCCCAGCTGACCTCAGGATCATCTCAGCACATGGTTGCAAGGTGAGCCAGAGTCCCCATCCCTAGCCTCAGGAGAAACCTCTTCTCCCCACTCCCAATACCTTTATGGACTCAAGTGTCCCAGACCCTAGTCCATCAGGGACTCAGGCTCCTTGGTTTGAGAGGGTCCTAGGGACCAGACATCCCTGCCCTCAGGACTACTTACCTCTTCAGGGATAGCTGACCTTCCTCCTACACCAATGGTCCTAGCATGCTGATCCCTCCTCACTTACTGCACTTTTCTCTCCAGGTGGATAACTCCTCTCTGACTGGCGAGTCTGAACCCAGACACGATCCCCAGACTGTACACATGACAACCCTTTGGAGACCAGGAACATCACCTTCTTTTCCACCAATTGTGTGGAAGGTGGGAGTATCCCAGGGGAAGCTGAGGCATAGATGAATAAGGGGAGGAAGGGAAGGCAAATGGGACTGCATAGGTTGAGCATCCTACTCTATTCACCATTCCTTTCCTGACCCCTCAATCTACCATCAAACCTCCATCCTCATGACTGAGTCCCCATGCTTTCCCCCAATAAGCCCTTATTACTCTCATTTAGCCCCTATCCACATAATGAGCTCCCCATCCTCCTAACTAAGCTTTCATCCAATACAGAGCCTCCATCCTACCCACTGAGCCCTAAGTCCTTCATTGAGCTCTCATAATCCTCACTAAGCTGCCAGCCCCCAACTGAGCCCCTGTTCTAGTTACTGTGTCCCCATCCCCCTTACTGATGGGCCAGTCTATCACTGAGCTCCACCCTTATGCTTTCACGGAGCTCTTATCCCCTCTCTAACACCCAATTCCCCTTACTGAACCCAGCATTCTCACTGAATGCTCATCTCTTTTACTGAGAAGCTGTCACCTCACTGAGACTTACAGAGCCCCCAACCCTTGTCTAAGCCCCTAGTCCCTTCACGTAATCCCTCATCCACCTCCAGCATATCTGCCATTTCTTTACTAAAGCCTTGTTGGCCCCCTTAAATTCTCATCATTCTTTCTGAGGCCCTACTCCCCTCACCAACCACCCTATACTTCTTCCTGAGCCCCCATTTTAGTCAAACTCCCATCTTCCTCATCGAGCCTTTTCTCTGATCACTGATGACAATAGTAATAACTCTCAATTATATATCACTTTACATACATGACCTAATTTAATTCTCACAACAACCCTGTGAGGTAGGTACTATTACTATGCCCATTTAATGGATAAAGAAACTGAGCTTCAGAGAGATTAAATAACTTCTTCAGGGCCATGCAGCTAGTAAACACCTATGGTAGAATTTGAATCCAGGTCTTCCTGATTCTGAGTCCAGCACCCCAGCCACTGCTTTATGATGCTCTGCCCTAGGCAAGGCCTCAACCTCCTCACTGAGCCTCCCAACTTCCTACCAAACCCCCTCCTCTTTACTGAAGCCCCTCCCATTCACTGAGCCTCTCATTCCCCTACTAAATCCTCAGTCCACCACCAAGCCTGTATTCCTTCACTAAGCCAAAGTCCAGTACCCTTCTTGGGGTTCTCCCTGGACCTCCACCCCACTCACTCCAGTGTTTCTCACTTTGCTCCCCTATCCATTAACTGAGAGTTCATCTTCTGACAGAATTACTTACTTGGAGCCCTCATCTGCTCACCAATTCTCCATTCCCTATACAGACCCCCACAAATGAATCTCCACCCCCTTACTGAACTCCATTTTTCTTTTCCAAGTTCTCATCATCCTCACTTGATCCTCTGCTTTCTCAGTGCTCCCTCATTCCTCTCACTGAGTCTCCATCTTCAACGTCTTTATCCTTAACATTTATCCTATCATCTATCACTTTGCCACCTCCCTGAGCATCCCATCCTCACACTTAGTGCCTTTACTCCTGAGTTTCCCATTCTTTCGATGAATTCCCCATCCCATTACTGTACTCTTCTTACTGTGACTCCCCTATATTCTCCACTGAGCCCCCATTCCCTCCCTAAATCTACCGTTTCACTTACTGACCTTCATCTCCACCACTGAGCTCCAATAATGCCTCACCCCTCACCCATCACTATATGAATATCCATATCTCCCAACTCAGCCCTGTCTCACCCAGTGAGCCCTCATTCCCCCACTAATCCTCCATTCCCCCTTTACTGATCCCCTATTCCCATCACTGAACCCCCATCCATCTCTATTAATTCTAATCCTCCCCCCCTGAATCCCCATCACTCTCACTAAGCCTCCATTCCCCAATAATCTCCAATTCACCCAAGCCCCCATATCACCTTACTAATTCTTCATGTCTATTATGGAGTCATTTCCCCCTTGCTTAACTTCTACCTCCCTCCTTGGGCTCCTGTCCCTTCCACTGAGCTCCCATTCCCCTATAAATCCACATTTTTCCTTACCTGACCTCCATTCCCCCAAATAGTCTGCCACCTCCTTTACTGATTCTGTCTCCTCCCCTGAGTCCTCATATCACTTATCTCCCACACTATTGCCACTGAGACCACATCCTCCTTATTTACCAAGCTCTCATACACTTCGTATAATCCCTTCACTGAGTCCCTATCACCTCCCCTGATCCCCCACTTTCCCAATAATCCCCCACTCTCTGACTTAGCCTCCATGTCCCCTCACTGATCCCTATTATCACCACTGAGCCCCCTTTTCTCTCACTTATGTGAATTGCTACTGCCTCCACTCCTCCATTTCCCAACAAATCCCTTATTGACCTCCAACCCCGTCACTGAGCTCCAACCCCTCACTTATCTTCTATCTACATCACTGAGCCCTCACCACCCCAATTAGTTCTCACCCCTTCACTGAGTCCCCATAACTCTTCCTGAGCCCCCATTTCCCCTGCTGAGTTTCCATCTGTCACATTAATCCATCTTCCTTACTGTTGTCACTCAGCCCCCATGTCCCTCACTGAACTCCAGTTCCTTCACTTGGCCACTTTCAACCACAGCTGAGCCCCTATCTCCTCTCTCTGCTCTGTTCCTTTCACTGTGCTTCCAATCCTCCCAACTAAGCATCCATGAACTCTTATACCCATCCCTGAATTCCTATTTCATTCACCAAACCCCACATTTCCTTCAATGGGTTCTCCAGTGCTTCTCACTGAACCCCCATCCTGTTATAAATGAGCCCTCTATCAGGTCACTAAGCCCTCATCTCCCTCACTGAACCTCTCACTCTCCCTCTAAGCCCTCATGCTTCTACTGACACTTCTTCCTCCTTCTTGAATTTGCACCCCCCATTAGCACCCTGACCTTTGACTGAACCCATATTTTGACACTGTACCCTTATCTACCTTTGGCCTCTAACCCTTCCTCATGCCTTCTTAAGGTCCTCATCCCTTTACTAAGTCCCCCATCCCTCTTACTTAACCCTCATTCCATTCACTGAATCCCAATACCTTTAGGACCCCAGAACTCTCATTGAGCCAGAATCTCCTTCATAGAGCTCTCATTTCCTCCTGGAGTCTCATCTCCCACACTGATTTCCCAACTTCCCTTTATTAAGCCTTCATCCTATTCACTGAAGTCATAGGAACAGGAGGTCATAGATGATGAAAAGATCTCAGGAGCCAAGATCCAAGTTTTGTTTTTTGTTTTTTGTTTTTGTTTTTGTTTTTTACCAATGAGGAGATTGAGCCCAGTGAGCTGAAGTTAGATTTGTAAGGCCACACATTTAGTAAGTGTTGGAGTTGGGATTTGAACTCAGGTCCTCTGATTCCAAAGTTATTTCTCCTCCATCCGCTTCCTCACTTGAAGTCTAACCTTTTTCTTCCCTTAGGCTAACATTTTCTTCCCTTAGTTTTTATCCCTCTCATTGAGCGCCTCCATCCCTCAAACTGAACACCCATTCCTATTGGTGTTCTTTTCATCCAATCACTAAACCATTCACCCCTCTGACTGAACCCTCTCATTCCCCTCACTGAGCCTACATCTCTACTACTGAGACCCATTTTTCCTTTGATCTTTCTATTCAGTCACTGAGCCCCACCATCCCATCACTGTGCCATCATCATCTTCACCAAGAATCCATCCTTTCATTCAGTGACAACTATCCATTAGCCCCTGCCCTTCTTACTGAGCCAGTATTATGTCTCTCTCCCTGATGAAGCTCCATCCCTCCTCACTGTTCCCCCAGCCATTTTGCTGAGCTCCTCATCCTTCCATTGACCATGGGCCCCCCAGCCCATTTCCCTCATTCAATATCTCGTTCTTCTCACTGAATACCCATTTCCTTCAAAGAGCCCTTATAGCCCCAATCAACCCATATGTAACTCACTGTTTCCTTGAGAGAGCTATGACTCCTAACTGTGCTTCCCATCCCCTAACTGAACCCCTGTCCTCTCAGTGAGATTTTATTCCCTTCATTTAGCTTCCTTCACCTTACTGAGTTCCCATCCCTCTCACTGAGCTCCCAGCCTTCTCACTGAATCTGACCTGTATCAGTGATCCCTTTAATCCCTCTGACTGAGCTTTATTCCCTTTCTGAGACCTCATCCTGCTCATTGAGCCATCATTCCCCTCCATGAGCTTGTATTCCCATCACTGAGGCACCATCCTCCTCACTTTCCTCTAGGCCATGAGGAGGACCCTGATCCTTGCATTCACTGACCCTCCCATATCACTCATTGAGCTTCTCATTCCTTCAGTTAATCCCCAGTTCTCTCACTCAGTCCCCACTGAGCCTTCGATGCCTTCTCTGAGCCCATCATCTACTTCCCTGGGCACTCATCACTGTCACTGTGCTCTCCCCATACCTCCATTGACATTTGCCCTCCTCACTGAATGTTCATTCTCTCTTACTAGGCTTCTTAGGCTTCTTATTGAGCTCCTAAATGTCCATTCCTGAGCTCTCCAGCCCCTCATTTGAAGCTCACATTCCCTCACTGAACACCCATCGTCTCACTGAGTCCTTACCCTCTCTCTGAGCTCCCACGATGAAGTCCCATGGCTTCATTAAACCAATCGTTCTCTTACCAATCCCACAAGCTACATGCCTACATCCCTGTGCTCTCATGGAGGCCTCCCATGAGCCATTATCCCTTTCACTGAACCCTCCGTCTGTTCAATGACATCCCATCAGGTCACAGAACATATGTCCCACTAAATCACTTTGTTCACTGAGCCCCCATCATGTAACTGAGCTCTCTATCTTCCTCACCTATTTACTGAACCTCCAGTTACATAATTAAATCCCTATGCCCTTACCTAGTCACCTGTTCCCCTCATCTACCCTTAACCTCACCCCCAACACACAAACTGAACCTTTATTTTGCTCATTGAGCCCTCATCTTCTCAGGAAAGCCCCATCCCCTGTGAATCTCCATTTTTCACTGAGTTCTCCCATCTCCCATATCATTATGCTCCCATATTCCCCAGTGAGCCCCCCATGCCTTCATAAAGCCCTTTCCTCTCATAAGCCCCTATCTGCCTCACTAAATTTTATGTCTTATTGATGACTTTCCTTCTCATTGATCCCCATCACTCAATTAAGCCCCTATCCTTCCATTCCACCCATGCCTTAACTTTATCCTCCTTGCTAAATAATTATTCCTATCATTGGCCTCTCTATTCCCTCACTAAGTCCCTAATTCCTCTGACTCATTCCCCATTTTCCTTGGTGAGCCTCCATCTCTCTCACTTTCTCCACCATCCCCCTCACTGAGTCCTTGTTACTCAAATTAAGCCAACAGCCTACTCACTGATGACTCATACCTTCACTAAGCCCCATCCCCCTATTTAGCCCCCACTCAGACTTTCATGAAGGTCCATCCTCCCACTAAAACCCAATTATTCCATTCCCCTCACTTACCCCCATCTTTTAACTAAGCCCTCGTCACCCTCACCAAGCTTCCTTCACTGAGTCACCCATTTCCCTACTGAATCCCTAGCCCAACACTGAGCCTCCACTTCCCCAGAGTCCCCTATTCCTTCACTATACTCCAATATCCTTCATTAGGCTCCCTATTATCTCACTAAACTTCCTCACTTTCACTGAGTCTCTCATTCCACTACTAAGTCTGTAGCACATGCCCAAGCCTCATAATTGCCCATCATTGCCCCATCATTACCCATCATCTCACTGAAACTTCTTCAATCCTCTTCAATGAGTCCCCTATCTCCACTGGATCCCCAGTCCATCCATGGAGCCTTAACATTTCCTCATCCCACTTTCTCCTTTTCACTGAACTCCATTCTCTTCACTGAGCTCCCGATTTCCCCACTGTATCCGTAGCCCACTTCAGAGACTCATCGTGTTCCCAATGAATGACCATCCCTTTCACTGAACGTCCCCACCCTGTCACTGAGTCCCCCACGACTTTCCCTGAGTCCTTCCCTTCTTAGAGCTCCAATATTCTCACTAAATCTCCCATCCCCTCATAGAGCCCCCATCACCCTATTGAGACCTCTATGTCCTCGTGAAGGTTCATCATCTCATTGAACTCCCTTGCTCCATTCTGATCTTCAGCTTTTAACTAAGTTCATATCTCTCTCACTGAATCCCCATGCTCTTCATTGAGTCACCCTTTCTCCTGCTAGTCCTCCACCCTATACTAAATCCCTACTTCCCCAATGAATCCTCAGCCCCCCACTCAGCATCATCATTGCCCAACTGAACCCCCATCACCTCACTAAACCACATCCTCTTCACTGAGCCCCCAGCCCTGATACTGAAGTTCTAGTTCACCTCAAAGCCTTGTCATGTCCCCACTGAATTCCCATTCTTTTCATTAAACACTCCCATTCTGTCACTGATCCCCAATGTCCTCACTGCCCCCATTGTCTTTCCTAAGCTTTGCCTTGCCCACTAGAACTCCAATACTCTCACTGAGTCTCTCATCCCCCTATTGAGATCTCCATGCTCTCATGAAGACTTATCATTTTATTGAACCCCCTTGCCCCATTCCCCTTATTGACCCCTTGTCTCTTAACTGAGCCTTCATCTCCTTCACTAAATGCCCCTACTCTTATCCTCTCCCAGAACCCCTTATATCCTTCCTGAGCTCCACCCCATTCTCCCTTGCCCTGCCTCCCTCAGTGGAGCCCTTCTCTTCTGCTGGACTCCCTTCTTCTGTTCACGCATTCTCTCACTGATTGTTTCGGACTTCAGGCACAGCTCGAGGTGTGGTGGTAGCTACAGGTGACCGGACTGTCATGGGCCGAATTGCAACTCTAGCCTCTGGCCTGGAGGTGGGCAAGACTCCAATTGCTATCGAGATTGAACACTTCATCCAGCTGATCACAGGCGTGGCTGTCTTCCTGGGCGTTTCCTTCTTCATCCTCTCCCTCATCCTGGGTTACACCTGGCTCGAGGCTGTCATCTTCCTCATTGGCATCATTGTGGCCAATGTGCCTGAGGGACTGCTGGCCACTGTCACTGTAAGGGCTTCTCCTGTGAGGGCTCTGGGATGCCTGGGTCCCTGAAAGGGTAGGGGCTGGAGGACTAGGTCCCCTTGTTTCCTCATAAGATGGGGATTAGTGAAATAGATGCCTGGAGTCACAAGGAATTAGGGCTGAAGGATCGGGACATATGGGTCCTTGGGGGATGAGAAGTTAGATGGAAGAGTGGCTAGGGGAATGGACATCTCAGTCTTTGAGAGGGGTCAGATTTTGGAGCCAGAAGCCTGGATCTCCAGGGAGTGGTGTTTGGGAGGACAAAATGCCTGGATGTCTGAGAGTGGCTGAGACTAGGAACTATACTATACCTGAGCGCTGAAGGGGGTTAGAAGGGCAGAGCACAGGGTTTCTGGTTCCCCAGTGGCACACAGTCTGGCCCCTGAAGAAGACAGATTTTTCCCTTCTAAAGGGGGACAGAGTCACTTGGTAGAGTAGAAATTCTGGATTTGCAATAAGAAGACTTATCTGGGAGGAAAAGATGCCTTAGTTCTTGAGAAGGGCAAACTTTGAAATGCTAGACACTAGTGTCCCCAAAGAAGACAGGAGCTGCAGAAGCAGATGCCTATGTTCCCCAGAGGGACAGGGGCTGGGAAGCTGGACACCAGTGTCTCCCTCCCCTACAGGTGTGTCTGACACTAACTGCTAAGCGCATGGCCCGGAAGAACTGTTTGGTGAAGAACCTAGAGGCGGTGGAGACCCTGGGCTCCACTTCCACCATCTGCTCAGACAAGACTGGGACCCTGACCCAGAACCGGATGACAGTTGCTCACATGTGGTTTGACAACCAGATCCATGAGGCAGACACCACTGAGGACCAATCTGGTGATTGTGACTCCCCTGGCTATGGGAGGGGGTGAAACAGAGGGACTGGGGAAGTATCCAGAGAAAGCTAGGTCCATAAGGGCACCTGGAGGGAGACTGGCCCCAGAAGGTCATTTTGAAGAACAGGGATTGAGCCCCACCCTGAGTCCACATCTCTCCCTCCACCCATGACAGGAACCTCATTTGACAAGAGCTCCCACACTTGGGTGGCCCTGTCCCACATTGCTGGCCTTTGCAACCGAGCTGTCTTCAAGGGAGGCCAGGACAACATACCTGTGCTCAAGGTGAGACTGGGCTAGGGATTTTCTCTCCCTACCCTCTTTAACTCCCTAGAGGTTCTCAGACCCAGCTCCCAATCCCTTACAGCTGGGCTTAGATTGTTCATGGATTCATAGATAAAGAACTGGAATTGACCTTAGAGGTCATCTTGTCCAACCCTCCTCATTTTACAGATGAGGAAACTGAGATCCAAAGAGGTTAAGTGATTTGCTGAAGTATAGTAAGTGGAAGAATTGAGATTTAAACTAAGGTCCCGTGATTCCAAGTTCGGTGTTCCAAATTTAGTTCTTGCCACAATTTCCACTACCCCAATTCCTTCTGGCTATGACCTTTATTTTTCTACAATCATTCTTTTCCTCCCCGTGTTCATCTGGGTGTCCAACCCCTTCCACACGTGTCCCCTCTCATCCCCTTTTAGCTGTGTTCACCTATGCCTGTACAGCTGTGGGTTCTACTTCGAGGACCTAGTCCTTCTCAGTCACAGCTTGTTTTCCCTAGCACCACCCACCATCCCTTGGATCGAGCCCCATTCCTCATTTCTTGCTTCCATTTTCAATGCTGCCAGACTAACCTAGCCACTGTTGCCACTGGCCTTTCCCTCTCCCTGTTCTCCCACCCTTACCCCTCACACAGAGGGATGTGGCAGGAGATGCTTCTGAGTCAGCCCTTCTGAAATGCATTGAATTGTCATCTGGCTCTGTGAAACTGATGCGGGAAAGGAACAAGAAAGTGGCTGAGATCCCCTTCAATTCCACCAACAAATACCAGGTATGTGAGGACTGATCCCCTTCAATATCACCAACAGTGACCAGGAATGAGGGGATTCCCTTCAACTCCATTAACAATGAAAGGGGGAGAGATTACCACTAAGAACTATGTGATACGTAGAGAAACAGAGACCCAGAAAAGGGAAATGTCTTGTCCAAAGTCACATTGAATCAAGGGGGAAGAACTGAGCTTAAAATGCAGGTATCCTGACCCCCTTCCCCCTGCCCTAACCACCTAGTTGGTAGAGGGACACACACATATAGAGAGATGCAGGCAGAAGATTCAGAGCCAGGGAGGTGGAACTACACAGGAGACATACAGAGACCAGGAAGATAGAGAAGGCAATACTGACAGGCACAGTCAAGGAGAAGGAGAGAGACAAAGATGTAGAGACAGCAAGGCAGGGAAAGTGAAAGAGGCAGACAGATAGACAAGGAGATGAGGAGTGAGATGGATGGAGGGAAAGACACGCAGAGAGAGTGAGGTGTGGAGAGGGGAGGACTGACGCAATGGGGGAGTGTATGTACGCCACGCCGCCACCCCTGACTTGTTCACTGGACCTTCCCAGCTCTCCATCCACGAGACGGAGGACCCCAATGACAATCGATACCTGCTGGTGATGAAGGGTGCCCCTGAGAGGATCCTGGACAGATGTTCCACCATTCTGCTGCAGGGCAAAGAGCAGGCCTTGGATGACGAACTCAAGGAGGCCTTCCAAAATGCCTACTTGGAGCTGGGCGGGCTGGGCGAACGGGTGCTTGGTACGGCTCCGCCCAGCCCGTGTCTCCACTCCCTGACTCAGCGTCAAGAGACTGGGGTTTGGCAGGGGGCGATGGTGGGAGTGGAGGCGCAGGGGAGAGTGCTCTATATTACTGGCAGACTGGTGATGGGCAATTGGGGGATTGAGGGAAACGGAAGGTTGGAAGAATAGGGGACTGGGAGGATGGGGAACTGCAGTCAAACCAGTAAGTATTTATTAAGCACCTACTGTTTGTCAGGCACTGTGTGAAGCTCTGGGGATGCAAAAAAAATAGCTCTTGTTTTGGAGGAGTTCACAGTCTAATGTAAGGGGTGGAAGTGATGTTGGGGGGGCAGGAAGGACAGCAGGCAGACAACTATACAACAAATGTACTAACAAGATATATACAAGATATGTTGGACGTAATTAACAAAGGACTGAGGGATAGAGCTTGGGAGACTAGAGAAATAGGGCATTTGAAGACAGGGGACTGAGGCTGGGGATTTGGTTAGGGAAGCGGGACAATCAATCAACAAACTTATATCAAACACCTACTATGTTCCAAGGATTGTGCCAGAGGGTGGGAATACAAATACAAGGATTGAAAGAATGCCTGTCCTCAAGGAGCTTACATTCTAGCGGGGGAGAGAAATCCAGATTATAGAGAGAATAAATACAAATTAGGTAAATACAAGGTGTCTAGGGAGGGAGGGCACTAAGCAGCTTGGGGTTCACAAAAAGGTTTCATGTAGAAGGTCATGCTTGAACTGAATCTTGGAGGAAGAAAGAGATTCTGTGAGGTAAAGGTGAGGATGGAATACATTCTAGGCACAGGTAATAAAACAAAAATGGTGATAAGAGATGGATTGTTGTGCATGAGGAACAGAGGGAAGGCCAGTATGGCTGGACTGCAGAGGCTGGGAGGGGTAATGATGTTAAATAGGGTTTAAAAGACAGGTTGGGGGCAGCCCTTAAAAGCTAAACAAATGAGTTTGTCTTTGATTCTAGAGGCAAAAGGAAGCCACAAGAGTTCGTGAAATAGGGAAGTCACATAGCCAGATGTGCACTCAGGGAAACCACTTTAGCAGGAGTGTGGAGGATGGACTGGAGTGGGGAGAGAGCTGAGGCAAGGCGGGAAAGTCATAAGTTGTATCAGTAATCTAGGGGACAGATGCTGAGGTCCTGAGCAAGGGTGGTGGTTATATGAGTGGAGAGAAGGGATGAGAGGAGAGAGATACTGTGGTGGCAGAAACACAAGATTTGGCAGCTAATTAGATGTGTGGGAGGAGGCACCATAAAGAATTAAGGCTAACACCAAGAGTTTGAACCTAGGTGACTAGAAACATGGTTGTGCCTCGGACAGAAAGTAGGGAAGTTTGGAAGGGGGAAGGGCAGTAGTGGTGATGGAAATAATGAGTTCCTCTGGGCATGTTGAGTTTATCATGTCTTTGGGACATCCCATTTGAAATGTCTACTAGGTAGTTGGTGATGTAGGACTGAAACTCGGGGGAGAGTCTGCAGTTGGATATATAGATCCAGGAGTCAGTCACCTGCAGAAAGATAAACATTAAACCCATTGATGCTGATGAGGTCACCAAAGAGAGATTGTGCATAGGAAAGAGAGAGGTCCCAACAGAAAGCCTTAGGGGATGCCAACTGTGAGTGGATGATGGATGATAATCAAGCCAAGGAGATCAAGACAAGCAAGCAGAGAGAGAACAAGTGTCATGAGACTTCAGAGAAACAAGAGCATGCAGGAGGGAAAGAATGGTTAACAATGTCAAATACTGCAGATAGATTGAGAAGGACAAGGACTGAGAAAAGACTGTTGGATTTGGCAATTAAGTGACCACTGGCAATGTTGGAGAGAGTAGTTTCATTGAGCCATGAGTTTGGGAGATGAAGGAATGAGAGCAGAGGAAGAAGAGACAAAATAGGGAGGTGGAGGATAGGTGATTGGAAAACAGGGCATAGGAAGATTAGGGATGAGGAACTGGGGGCTAGAATTGGGGGGCTGGAGGATAGGCAGTTGAGGGACTGGGGAATTGAATGTTAGAATGGGAGATAAGAGACTGAGGGATCAGAAGGATGAGGGAGTAGAACACTGGGTTATATAGGGAACTGGGTGGCTGAGGAATAGGGAAGACTGGAAGACTGATAGAATGAGGAATTGGGGTTGAGGATTTGGAGGAATAGGAATTAGGGGGTTGAAGGACTGAAGAATAGTGTATATATTGGAAGAATGGGGGAATGAGAAATTAGGAAAGGTAAAGAATTAGGGATTGGTACAATGATGAGCTGTGGGTGGAGAGATAGGGGGTGGAAGAGTGGGAGGAGAAGTTTAGGGAATTGAAGGATGTGGAGCTAAAAGATTATGGCAGTGAGAAATTGGGAAGCTGGAGAAAGAGAAGTTGGGGACTGGGAGAGAGAATTGAGAGGCAGAGTGTTGGGTAACTAGGTGAATGAGAAATTGGGGAAATGTGGGGTTGGAACTAAGGAATGTGAGGGACTAGAGGATTAGAAGTTAAAGGATTAGAAACTGGGATGGGTGAAGAGTTGGGAAGTTGAGGGAACTGAGGAGTTGGGGGCCTGAGGCATAAGGAATTAGGGAACTGAAGGATACAATGGTTGAGGATGATGAGTTGGGAATCTCAGGGAATAAGGGAGAGGGCACTGGAGTTGAGGGGCTGAGGAGATCGCCAGCTGGTGATACTGCAGAGTTGGAAGGTGAGGGATTAGGAAATTGGGAGGCTATAGGAATAAGATACTTGGGGAGTTGTAGGACTAGGAAGATGGGGAGTTGAGGGTCAGAGGAAGGGAATACTGAGGAGTTGAGCATTAGAGATCTGGAAACCTGAGAGTCCCCTGGAGTCAGGAGATCTGGCTTTGTATCCTGGTCCTGACATTTACTGTTACTTTGGGCAAATTTCTCTGAGCCTCTGCATTCCCCATCTACAAAACGATGATAATATCTGCACAGTTAGTTTCACAGGGTGACTGTGAGAAAGGAGCTCTGTCAGCTTTATTTTTTAGGAGTGTGAGATGAGGAGGAGACAGGGTTGGAGGAGGGGCACTGGGAAATAGGAATATTGAGGACCAGGGGGTTGGGAAGGTGGCAGAAGGATGTGGATATTCCAGAGATGGAAAGTTGAGAGATTGAGAGATTAGTGACTTCCAAGTACCATGTTAATGATGTAGGTCCAAGGACAGGGAAGGGGAGGCCAGATCCTAAGTTCTAACCATCTCTTCTGGGCACTGCTAGGGTTCTGCCACTACTACTTGCCTGAGGAACAGTTCCCTAAGGGCTTTGCTTTCGACTGTGATGATGTCAACTTCACCACTGACAATCTTTGCTTCGTCGGCCTCATGTCCATGATTGACCCACCCAGGGCTGCTGTCCCCGATGCTGTGGGCAAATGCCGAAGTGCTGGGATCAAGGTGGGGTCAGGAGTGGCTGAGGGGGGGGAACCAAGATACCTGAGTTCCTTAGGGTGAAGAGCAGAGTAAAGGGGAAAGGGTGCAGCCATGACCTCTACTTCCTCCTTTGTTATGCAGGTGATCATGGTAACTGGCGACCACCCCATCACAGCTAAAGCTATTGCCAAGGGTGTAGGGATCATCTCTGAAGGCAATGAGACTGTGGAGGACATTGCTGCCAGGCTCAACATCCCTGTGAGTCAGGTCAATCCCAGGTGAGGCAGCTACTTTATCCTGGACCTTGCCCAACTCTTCCCTGTTTCCTTTCTCCCTGTCATCTTCCTTTGGTATCCCTCCGACTGACTGTTGCTGGATCTATCTCCTTTCTGTGTCTCTCAGTGTCTCTCTGTCTCTGTCTCTCCTCAGCTTGGTCTGCTGAGTCTCCTTCCTGCTTCCTCTTTATGTACTGTTTTCCCCATATTTTTCTTTTCTGTATATTTCTCTATATATCTCTCTGTATCTCTCTCTCTCCTTCTTCCTTTCCCTCTCTGTCTGACTCTATCTCTGCTTCTCATGCTTTCTCTATCTCTATGTTTCTCTCTTTCTGTTTCGCTGTCTCTGCTTTCTCATCCTCCCCCACCTCCTTTTCCTTCCTCTCTGTCTCTGTGTCTCTGTCTCTGTCTCTGTCTGCCTCCATCTCTGTCTGTCTGTCTGTCTGGTACACATGACTTGCATTCAAATCCACGCAGTTACCTCCTAGCTGTGTGAGCTTCGCCAAGTAATTTAACCTCTTTGGGCCTCAGTTTCTTTAGCAGCACAGGAAGTCAGACAAGTTGGTCTTTGAGGATGCTTCCAGATCTAGATTTATGATCCTTCTCTCCCTCTATCTCTGATCTCTCATCCCTCTGCTCTCTTCCTTTTTGTTCTTATCTGCCTGTCCCTCCTCTTCTCTTTTTATCTTTCTGTTGATTTCAGTCAATCTTTCTTTGTCTGCTCCTCCTCCTCTCTGTCTGTCTCCCTCCTGAGCTGTCTCTGTCTCTCTCTCTCTGTCCTTCCCTCCCTTCCTTTCTCTGTTTCCCTAACTGTATGATGTCTCTGTCAACCCTTCTCTCTCCCCTTGTCACCCCTCAGACTCTCTGTCCTCTCCTGCCCTCACCCAGGACTGGGGCATCCCTCACCAACCTTCTGTACCTGTGCAGGGATGCCAAGGCCTGTGTGATCCATGGCACGGACCTGAAGGATTTCTCCTCAGAACAGATTGATGAAATCTTGCAGAACCACACAGAGATTGTGTTTGCCCGAACTTCCCCACAGCAGAAACTCATCATTGTGGAAGGCTGCCAGAGACAGGTGAGAGCTTTGACACCTGGGCCTTGCATAGGTCGGGAGTCCTGAGTCACCAAGGGAGCATGAGCTGGGGGCCCAGATGCCTGGGTCTCTGAGAAAGGCAAAGGCTGTGAATACCAGTGGGTAGGGATCTAGCTACCTGGGGATGGAGGAACAGAGGCCTGGATTCCTGAGGCAATTGGATGAGTTGGGACAATAGTGAAATCCATAGTTCTGTGATGCCTGAGTACCCAAGAGCAGTATATCCTGGACACTGTATAACTAAGACCTCAGAAGGGCAGAGACTGGAACACTGGACATGAGTCCCTGAAGAGGGAAGGTACTGGAGGTCCAAATGCCTGGGTCCAGAAGGGCGACCAAGGCCTGGACCCTGGAAGACTGAACCCCTAAGAGACATGAGGACCAGAAGCCCAAGTCCCTGCCTCCTTCTCCTTCCCCCTCCCCCTCTGTCATTCCCACAGGGTGCCATTGTAGCAGTGACTGGGGATGGTGTCAATGACTCACCTGCCCTTAAGAAGGCGGATATCGGTGTGGCTATGGGCATTGCTGGCTCTGACGTCTCCAAGCAGGCAGCTGACATGATTTTGCTGGATGATAACTTTGCTTCCATCGTCACTGGTGTGGAGGAGGGTAAGGACAGGCTTGGGATCTGGAGACCAAACTCTGCCAGATGATTCACTGAGCTTCCCCATCAGCAAAGGGTTCGACTAGATGGTGGCAGAGGTCTTCTCTGGCTCTGACGTTCTAGGATTCTGAATCCCTAGGGGCCCATCTTTGGACGTCAAAGTGTCCTTCTTATAAAAGGAAGTGGGAAGGACCATACGAATGATCCAAAAGGGCCATTCCATTCTGGGGTTCTGTGGGCTTATACATGAGCTGGGGTCCCTCATCTCTCCCCCCACCCCCATCTTCCGTGGGAATAGAGACAGCCTCAGGGTAGATAAGAAAACAGAGCACTGGAAGAATGTCAGGAGAATTGGGAGATGGAGAAAGGAGGTGGAAGATGTCTGAGGAAGGCCAAGCTCCTTTGCCTCAGTGCAAGTCAAGTTCACCCCTCAGGAAGGCAGGTGACTGCCTGGTTTGACCCCCTCTGAATTCTTTCCCTCAGGCCGACTGATCTTCGACAACCTGAAGAAATCCATTGCCTACACCTTGACCAGCAACATCCCTGAGATTACCCCCTTCCTTCTTTTTCATCATGGCAAACATCCCCCTGCCCCTGGGAACCATCACCATCCTCTGCATTGACCTGGGCACAGATATGGTGAGACCCTCTGCTCAGCTTCCCCAAGGGGCTGTGAGGAGTTCACGTCCATCACTGTGGCATTTGGCTAGTGGTTCTGGGGTGGGTCTACCTGAAAGTCCCTCAAAGGTGCTGAGCTCAGAGGAGGGTGCTGGAGTAATCTGGCTCTGGTAACTTGCCAAGGTAGGGACCCTATTAAGTCATCTTTCTCAAGACCTTGTTGGGTCATACAAATTAAGGGAGACTTCTCACCACAGGTAAGTGATCTCAGGTAAGACCTCCCCTCTTAGATAACGTGTCTAAGGTGGGCCTTCACTGAGGTGGCTCCCTACTCTGTCCTGTGCAGGTGCCTGCCATCTCCCTGGCCTACGAGGCTGCTGAGAGTGACATCATGAAGCGACAGCCCCGAAATCCAAGGACAGACAAGCTGGTGAACGAAAGGCTCATTAGTATGGCATATGGGCAGATAGGTAAGGGGTTAGGGTCTGTCCTCAAAGACCCTCTGGATGCCAGGCTCAGGGCATCTGAGACCCCTGGGCCACTGCCTCAGCTTGTTATCTCAGATGACCCATTTTAGGCAAGAGGCCCCCTCAGGTGACCCTTCTCAGGTGAGACCCCTCAGGTGACCCTTCTCAGGTGAGACCCCTCAGGTGACCCTCAGGTGAGATCCCTCAGGTGACCCTTCTCAGGTGAGACCCCTCAGGTGACCCTTCTCAGGTGAGACCCCTCAGGTGACCCTTCTCAGGTGAGACCCCTCAGGTGAGATCCCTCAGGTGAGACCCTCAGGTGACCCTTCTCAGGTGAGACCCTCAGGTGACCCTTCTCAGGTGAGACCCCTCAGGTGAGATCCCTCAGGTGATATCCCTCAGGTGAGACCCCTCAGGTGACCCTTCTCAGGTGAGACCCCTCAGGTGACCCTTCTCAGGTGAGACCCCTCAGGTGAGACTCCTCAGGTGAGACCCCTCAGGTGAGATCCCTCAGGTGACCCTTCTCAGGTGAGACCCCTCAGGTGACCCTTCTCAGGTGAGACCCCTCAGGTGACCCTTCTCAGGTGACCCTTCTCAGGTGAGACCCCTCAGGTGACCCTTCTCAGGTGAGACTCCTCAGGTGACCCTTCTCAGGTGAGACCCCTCAGGTGAGATCCCTCAGGTGACCCTTCTCAGGTGAGATCCCTCAGGTGAGACCCTCAGGTGACCCTTCTCAGGTGAGATCCCTCAGGTGACCCTTCTCAGGTGAGACCCCTCAGGTGACCCTTCTCAGGTGAGACCCCTCAGGTGACCCTTCTCAGGTGAGACACCCTTGAGTACCTCTTTGCAGAGAAGAGCCTTCAGGTGATCTGTATCAGCTAATACAACCCTTAGGTAACTTTCCACAGGTGTGATCCTCAGGTGAGACCTGATTAGGTACCACCTGGTAAGTGTCACAATGAGTGCAGCTCTTTAACTTGGGATCAGAAGACCTGAATTGGAATTCTGCCTCAGACAGTTAAATAGCTGTATGACCCTGGGGAAGTCACTTAACCTCTCTCAGCCTCAATTCCATCATCCACAAAATGGGGTAATAATAATTCCTGCCTCCCAGGTTGTTGTGGAAGTCAGACAAAATAACCCGGAGCATGCTTGCCAAACCATTTTGTTCGCAGTTATTTGTCTTGGTTACTTACGTGAAGTCTTCCCCTCTAGAGTGTATGCTCTGTCTTCTCCCCTCTTTGTTCTCTCCAGTGCTTGGCACAAAGTGTGGCACACAATGAGCACTTAATAAATGCTTGTTGTCTGCTTGCCTGATCCCTTTGGGCAGTCCTTTTCAGGTGACTCCTCTCAGGTAACCCATCCAAGATGACCCGTGGGGGGTTTATCCCTGATACGGTTCTTGCTATCTGTGTGATCTCAGAGCACCTAAGGCCCCTGCGGTGCCTCAGAGAAGTCACTTCTCTGAACCTCAGTTTCCTCATCTGTAAAATGGGAGGTCACACTAGGGTTTAGTCATCCCCAAGGTCCCAGCTGTCTCTAAATCTTGGGATGGAAGGGGTTCAGGGAGCCCTTAGCCTCTGGTGACCTCAAAGGTGCGTCTGGCCTGGGTCCCTGTGCAAACTGACCCCCCTTCCCTCCATCCCCTGCAGGAATGATCCAGGCTCTGGGTGGCTTCTTTGCCTATTTTGTGATTCTGGCGGAGAATGGCTTCCTGCCATCTAACCTGGTGGGCATTCGGCTCAACTGGGATGACCGAACTGTCAATGACCTGGAGGACAGCTATGGGCAGCAGTGGGTGAGCAAGAAGGCGAGGGGCGGAGAGCTGTGGAAGCATCAGGAATAAGGGGAGAACATGCTCAGAGAGGGGCATCGATGGTGCAGAATGCCTATTCCCAGCATTGGAAGCTCGTCCTGGGGGACCTTGGGGTTCAGGGACTCCCCGAGGTGGGCGATAGAACAGGCCCTTGGTATGGAGTGAATCTGGGGGAGCTTCTTGGAGGAGAAAGAGAAGTGGGGTGAGGCTAAGCCCTCCTCTGCACGTCTCTCCCCCAGACCTATGAGCAGCGGAAGTCCGTGGAGTTCACCTGCCACACAGCCTTCTTCGTCAGCATTGTGGTTGTGCAGTGGGCAGATCTCATCATCTGCAAGACCAGGAGGAATTCTGTTTTCCAGCAGGGCATGAAGTGAGGGCTGGGGGCCAGGCGGGGGCTCTGCCTTCCTCACTCTCAGTGTCTCTAGCAGGCTTGCCCTCTGATCTCTGCACCCCCATCTCTATCAGTCTTTCTCTCAGCCCCTAGATTTCTTTCTTTCTCAGTTTCTACATCTCTGAGTGTCTCTGTCTTCTCAAAAATTTCTTCATTTTTCTCTCTCTCTGAGGATGTATAGCTCTGTGTCTCTTTGTCTCCATTTCTCAGGGCTTTCCTATTTTTATGTTTGTGTCTTTCTCAATCTCCCCTCCCACATTTTTTTCTCTCTCCCCCGCCCCTCCTTCTCCTCTTTGCCTTTCTCTCCCTCACTTCCTCCCTCCTCTTCTTATCTCTGAGTTTCTCTCCAATTCCATATCTCCATGTCTTTGCTGTCCTTATCTCCTTGTGTAATAAGATGGGTAAGAACCATGTGGAGAGATGAGGTGGTATCTGTCTCTGAATCTCTGCCTCTGAGTGTGTCTGGGTCTGTTTGTCCCCATATCTCTGTCTTGGCATGTCTGTCTCTAAGTACATCCCTGCGTCTCTTTCTCTCCCTCTTTTTTCTCTTACATTGCTGTCATTTGGTATATCTGTCTCCCTCTCACAGGGTCTCTCTATCTCTATCCCTAGCTCTATGTTCCTCATTTCTCAGTCTTGGTCCATTTCTATGACTCTGGGTCTATCTCTGCATTTCTATGTCTCTGCCTCCCTGATTCTCTGTCTCTATGTAGGTCTCCCTGAGTCACTGTGTCTGAGTGTGTCCATGGGTGAGAAGGCTGCTGGAGTGGATTAGTGAGGGATGATGCTCTGTGTGTGTGTGTGTGTGTGTGTGTGTGTGTGTGTGCTGTGCCAAGGTGGTTGTGTCTGCCCAGCTGCCCATCACATTCTACCCTTCCACAGGAACAAGATTCTGATTTTTGGGTTGTTTGAAGAGACAGCGCTGGCCGCCTTCCTGTCCTACTGCCCTGGCATGGATGTGGCCCTACGCATGTACCCACTCAAGTAAGTGTCTGTTCCACCACTTTGGCACATGCCCTGACCTTGGCTTTCCACTCTTGATAACACCAACCAACCCCAATCTCTCACACCTATTTTGGAAGACCTCCTTGCCTTCCTTCTCAACCTCCTTGGGACACCCCCAAATCTCCTATAGACTCTGGTCTCAACCTCGAGAGTTGAAGCCCCTTCCCCGATCCCAGGGCCCAGGGAACTCTCTCTGCTAATGAATAGCTTAGACCAGGAACTAATCACTAATATATATTTTTTTCTCTCTCTCTCCCTCCCTCCCTCCTTCCCCTCTCCTCTGTCTTTCTCTTCCCTCCTTCTTTCCTCCTCCCTCCCTCTGTCTCTCTCCCTCCCCTTCCTTTTCTGCCCCTCAATATCTCAACCTTAATCTTGCTCTGTGCCCCCTCTCTCCCATCCCTCTGCTTCTCTTTCACTTCCCATCTTTCTTTTTCTCTTTCTGCCTGTCTCTCTCCTCCTCTTTCTGGCTGTGTCTCTACCTCTCTCTTCCCATCTCGGGTGTTTCACCGATGGCTCTACAGGCCCAGTTGGTGGTTCTGTGCCTTCCCCTATAGCTTCCTCATCTTTGTCTATGATGAAATCAGAAAACTCATCCTGCGCAGAAACCCCGGGGGTGAGAGCTGGGGCTGGGATGGGGATGAGGCTGGGAGCATTAGGGAGGAGGCATTAGGGAGACCAGGGGCTGGGAATGGTCCAGGACGGGGCCTCAGGACCTGTGGGGAGGAGTCTAGGGGATGGACCCAAAAAGGCTCAGCCAGTTCACTTGACTGGCTTCTATTTTTCTCCCCTGCCCTTTCTTGTCTCTCTAATTTTGATTCTCTGCCTCTGTCTGTTTATTCGTTTCTCTCTCTCACTCTGCCTCTGTGTCACTGTGTCTCTGTCTCTGTCTGTCTCTTCTCTTCCAGGATGGGTGGAGAAGGAGACCTATTACTGACCTCATTCCCAGCACTGCCCCACCCTGTCTCACCCCCCAGCCCAGGAGAGAACCATCCCCCAGTTCCCGCGCCCTCGTTTTGTATTCTGGGGGGAGGGACCTTCTCTTCCCTTAGCCGGGTTTCGGCCCCCCGGCCTCCCCTACCCCCAAAGTTCGTACGTCCTGCTCCCGGCTCTCCCTGGCTTGCTTTCTCTCCCTGGTTTTCTTCCCTCCCCGTAGCCCCTCTTCCCCGTGTCGCTGTCTCTCTCTCCTTGTCCTTCCGTCTCGCGACTCCCCTCTATTCTCCTGTGTCCTCGTCGCCCTCTCTCCGTTTTCTGGCTCTCTCTCCCTGTCCCTCTTTTTTTATTTCCCAATGGCCGACTCCATCTCTCTGGTTCTGGACAAATATAAAATATATTGGTGGAGAGAGAGACGGGATTGGCTCTGTGTCGTCATTGCTGAGAGGGGACGGGGTTGGTACGTGGCACGGGTCGGCGTGTCGTGGGCTGTTATTGGCACACGTTGGCAGAGAATATTAGAATCTTCAAATTGTAGACTTCTAAACAACAAGATTCTAGAGTCCTTTTATTCTGAATTTCTAGATTCTTAGAATCACAGATTCCAGATCCTGAGAATTTTAGGACATCAGAATCTAGACACTTAGAACTGAACAGAGGCAATGGGATGTGGTGGATTAAGCAAGGAGCTTGGAGTTAGGAGATCTGGATTCAAATCCTGCCTTACACACCTTACTAGCTGCATGATCCTGGGCAAGTCCCCTAACCGTTCAATGCCTTGGTCTTATCATTTATAAAATGGCAATAGGAATATTCAGAGACAACATGGTACCATGCAAAGTGCCTTGGAATGGGAGTTGGAAGGACTGGGGTTGTGTTCCTGTCTTTGCTACCTACTAGAAATTATGCGCTACATGGGATAGAGCAATGGGTCCAAGTCAGGAAGACCTGAGTTCAAATCCAACCTCAGACACTAAGTATGCGAGCCAGTCCAGTCAGCTAACCTCTGTCTGCCTTGGTTTCCTCATCAATAAAATGCAGATAATAATAGCATCTATATCCCAAAGTTGTTTTGAGACTCAAATGAGATATTATTTGTAAAGTACTTTGCCCACCTTAAAGTTCTATGCAAATGCTAATGGTCATTCTTACTGATTTTGGAGGCGCCATCTCATCTCCAAAGGGCTATATTTCCTCATCTGTGAAGTGATAAGTTGACTTGACAGTAGCGAAAGTCCCTTCTAGCTCTTAACCTAGTTCTCCAGAAGAATCTGAGACCCCCAACTCTGAGGAGCTTCGAGTTGTAAAATACTGAAATCTTGGAAAGTAGGATCTTAGCGTGTGAACTCGGGAGGCATTGACTAAGCAGTACCAGGTGCCACGCACTGGGTGGGCATGAGATCAAAGAAAACCAAAGGTTCCTGCCTTTGAGGAGCTTATGTTCTACTGGGGGAGGCGGAGGGGCTACAGCACGTCCTCAAGTATATCAGGAGGGAAACTGAGGACAGACACAGCACAAATGACAGTGCTGGGAAGGATGGCGGAAGGGCTTTGCAAGCCTCAAAGTGGGACATAAATGCCAGTTATTGTGAAGATTATTCCAAAAGTCCTGCTTAGGACCCCAGAGATCAGCTTATGTCCCACCTTCAGAAACCAAGAAAGCAAAAATCTTGTCCGAAGTCCCAAAGTGACTTAAGAAGCTGGGAGGGGCCAGGGCACCTGGTCTTATCTGCAGAGCGGAAAGCCAGCCTGGCAGCCTGGTATCAGCTAGCAGCCTTAGTGGTCACTGCAAGAGGACAAACATAGGACCCTTTGAGCTGAGAGAGAGAGAGAGAGAGAGGGAGAGAGAGAGAGAGAGAGAGAGAGAGGAGAGAGAGAGAGAGAGGAGAGAGAGAGAGACAGAGAGAGAGGAGAGAGAGAGAGAGAGAGAGAGATGGGAGAGAGAGAGAAGAGACAGAGAGAGAGAGAGAGAGAGAGAGAGAGAGAGAGAGAGGAGAGAGAGAGAGAGACAGAGAGAGAGAGAAAGGGAGAGAGAGAGAGAGAGAGAGAGAGAGAGAGAGAGAGAGGGAGAGAGGGAGAGAGAGAGAGAGAGAGAGAGAGAGAGAGAGAGAGAGAGAGAGAGAGAGACGGGAGAGAGAGAGAGAGACAGAGAGAGAGAGAGAGAGAGAGACAGAGACAGAGAGAGGGAGAGAGAGAGAGAGAGAGACAGAGACAGAGAGAGGGAGAGAGAGAGAGACAGAGAGAGAGAGAAAGGGAGAGAGAGAGAGAGAGAGAGAGAGAGAGAGAGAGAGAGAGAGAGGGAGAGAGAGAGAGACAGAGAGAGAGAGAAAGGGAGAGAGAGAGAGAGAGAGAGAACGAGAACAATAAACTTCTTCAACTTCTTGGCCATAAGAAAAGCCTGGATCACCTCAGATGGAAGCTAGAAAAGTGAAAAGGGAGCCCTGCATATCAGAGAGCTCAGAATGGACAGGTCAGAGCTGAGAAGGGCCTTAGAACAGAGAATGTCAGAGCTGGGAGGGCCCTGAGAACAGGGAATGTCAGAGCTGGGAAGGCCTTAGAACAGAGAATGTCAGAGCTGGCAGAGGTCCTAGAATGGAGAACATAATGTCAAAGTAGAAATTAACCTTACACAGCAGGCAGACCCACCCCCACATTTTTAACAAGAGAAGGGATTGGAGGCTCAGCTAGGGGAAGGGAATTGTCCAAGATGACAGAGCCTGGACTGGAAAATTCTTCTGCCTCCAGGCCCACCATTGCTTCCATTTGGCTTTGGGAACCATCAAAGACAGTGCAGGAAGAGACCCTAACAGAGCTCTCCGGTTTTCTTTTCACCCCATCCCTTCTGACACCCTCCTCCAGCCCACATCAACCTCAGGCCCTCCCTCCAGAACTCTTTCTGCCACAATCTCTCAATCCTGGAGACTCCATCTCCCATAATTCCTTTGGACACAAACTCTATTCCCCACAATCCTTTTCTCCTGGGGAACTGAATCTCCGACAATCTTTCCCATCCATCATTCCATTCCCTGCAATCACCCTGCTGGAGACTCCATCTCCCACAATCCTTTAGTCCTTAGATGGTCTACAGTCAGCTCTTACAGGGGAACTCCATCTCCCATAACCCTTTACTTCTGGAAGCTCCATTTTATACAATCCCTCTGCTCCAGATGGCATCCTCCACAATTTTTTTCTCCTAGATGACTCTGGTCCCCATCATTCTCCAATCCCAGGACTTTGTCCCCCATTGGTCATGCTTCCCTTAATGTCCCCTCCCACCTGCCCCTTCCCATGTACTTTCCAGCCTTTCCCTCCAGGAACTACAGCTCCCACCAACTCCTTTTGAACTCAAAGAATTCACAATTGCCAAGTGATTCACTCATCACACAAAGAGCTCCCCTAGACCCAGTCTAGTCCTATCAAGGATGCATCCCCACTAAGGCTACAGCTACTGTAGAGAACAGGGCCCTCCAGGGGAGAGTACAGTGGGTCCTGGGCCCTTTCCTAGGGCAGACTGGTGTACAATAAAGAACATGGAATTTGGGGTCAGGTTACCAGAGTTTAAATCCTGGCTCTACCAGCTCTGTGACTTTGGGTAAATCACTTGACTTCTCTTGACTCCAATCATCTTATCCATATGTAGTACTTTCTGGGGTCTCACCTTAATTTATACTCATGGGTTAGGCCCCCAAGAGATGACTGCCACTTTGGTTTCTAGGGATAATCCTATGTAGGACTGCTTCTGCTATAGCTTTTAAGCCCCCACTAAGTGTGCTTCTCATTAGTAGCCAGCCAGTAGCGTTAATAAGTGTTTAGTGAAGGCATTTCAAATGCCCTAGGAAGAACAGTAATTATAAAAATAATTCTCCCTTATCAGCTAAGGCACACTCTGTGTCAGCTCTAAGAGTAGGCACAAGCTTAAAATAATATTATAGTGAGGAACATGTAAGGAGTACAGATGGTCAAAATAACTTCATGATCTTGGTACTGAAGGGCCCTGATGCCATTTTTTTCTGCATACCACCAACCTTGATCCTTAATGATCAGGAGTAGTTTTTTTACACCATTACTTTGATCATCAGCTAACATACTGCTGTGTCTTTCCAGGAAGAACAGAAACTTAGTCTAGGAATGGTAAAAACATACCTAGATGAGTTGTCTCAGACACTTAACTCTGAAACCTGATATTTCTTCAAGGTCTCTTAGGAAAAGGTTTAAGCTTTCTTTTTGACAAAACTCCCCATTTCAGGGGTAGGTCCCCCCCAGTGAGAGATATCATACTAATGTATGGTGATCATACTGCACATTTCTCAAATCTTCATCACAGTAGGCTAGGTTATAAGTAGGCAATAGACATTTTCCTAATATTACCAAATATGTCTGGGAGTATGGGTTCAACAGATTTTTAAAAATTTCTATCCTATTGGTCAACCTAAGCCATAGGGGCTATAACATTGTTTCTGTTGGCCTTTTCACATACAAATGAGACACTCAAAGCCTTGGATCCTTTACTAGATATAGAATAAGTCACCTTTGAAAGTACCTTGCCATTAAATCTTATTTTTTCCCTCTTTGATCCTTCTGAACTGTAAATTTGCTGAAGTCTAAAAGGGGCATATTCATATAAAATAAAGAGGTTGGACTGTTGTGGTTTAGGGGTGCTGGGAACCCCAAAATTCAAAGGCGAAAGACATGAGTCCTGCCTCAAAAGAATTCAACTCAAATCTTCTTTCAGTAAGAGACAAGGTTTATTGTTTTGCCAATAGAAGTGGGTGGGACTTTTAAGAACTTGTGCTATCCTGACTCTTGTATTGACAAGCAGGCCAGACTCTTAAGGAATATAGGCAATTTGGTAGATGAGACTGGCCTTTTTTATAGTGTAGCCAATAACCTGGGGTGACCGGGAGGTAACAGAAAAAGGTTCTAGGTGGAATGAAGGAGTGTCAAATAACCTGAAAACAGAAAAAGAGTCTGGGGTGGGGCCAGGTGCAGACAAAGAGGGCCACACTGAAAGAGCAGTTGAAAGGATTATTAACTGAGAAGGGCCAGGTGCCCCAGGCAAAAGTCAAGGACCTGGGCCAAGTGGGAAAGTCCAGGGCGTTTTAGGGGTCCATCATTAGCAGCCCATCATTTAATGAAGGAGACCCCACATACAGAAGGATGGTGGCCAGGGAAGAGTATTTTGGATTGTTGGTGAGTGGAACCAATAGGGGAGTCAATTGGCACACCCTTTCAGAAACCAAGGCAGTATTCATTTGATTAGAGTGTAAGCTAATTACTAGTAGAGGTAGTTTCACTCTTAGCACTTAGTATCCTTATCACCTAAAACAGTACCAGTCTTGAAGCTGTTCACCCTTCATTTTCAAAGAAGACCAATGACATCACAGAGTGATGTCTTGACTTGTGAATGAATTGGATT